AGACCTGTAGGGGGCCTTTCGAGACTCTTCTAGTTCCAAGCTTAAGCCACATGGCATCATTCGGTGCGTTCCCGGTGCGCTCCTTGCGCCAGCCAGGGGCCGGTGATCGGCCACAGGCTTTGGGGCCGGTCGGTCAGGGGGTTGGCCTGCGCGGTTTAGGCCAAGGGCTTCGGGAGTTTTTTTAAGAGTCAGCCAAGGATTTCATAGGTTTATGCCGGTTTTTGGAGACTGCGGGTCCAAGACCCTAGATTCAGGGACACGCCTCAGATTTGTGGAATGTAGGGTGTACTTCCTTAACCCAGCGATTGCCCAAATTTTGGTTTAAGGCTAAGGGTAGTGTAATGCTTGAGAGCGTGCCTTCATCAACGGCGTGGGGGCCTATCGGTCAAACAGGGCTTCTTGTAACATCAACATCAACACACAAACCTACCTACCTGGATGATGATGGACGCATACCTGCAATGGCGTGTGCTCTTCGAAGGACATAAGTCCATCTTTTCAAGGGCCAGGACTTCTTAACACTAAGCCGGGCTCCAAAGCCATGAACAAGACCTTCAACCCTGCATCAGCCTCAAGCGTCCCTAAGCCGCAACCCTTCAGCCCCCAGGTCCGCTGCCCATTTGTGACCGCAGCGACGCCAACGCTTTCGCCTCTCCTCCTCATAAGTCACTGGGGCTGTTGAAGAGGCAATCGCGTTGCCCAGATCTTCTATCAATGCTTGATGAGGCGTGCCCCAATCGCAGCATGTTGGGAAATGGGGGCGTTAGAGTAAGGAGAGTGGCCGTGGCGGTGTTTTGGTGGACAGAAGGCTTCCTCTGCTTGCATCTGGCAAAATCAGAAACTTGACAGGAACTTCTGAGATGCACGCGGGGCCCTGCGCGTCTAAGCAGCTCTTGGTACCTGCTACTGGACCAATCTGCTGGAAATCCAGGCGACTGGCTATGTGGCTATACAGCTCGGGAGGGTGTGTTTGGGCCCGCAGCCAAGCCACTCGGTCGCATTGATGAGGCCGTCCCTGTAGCGGCACCATGCTGCAAGATGCTGGTTGCTAGCATTTGCCGGCACTAGACACCCGCAGCAGCAAACCTGCTCAGGATCCGGCACCGTGACATCTAGCCTCGGCACAGCAAACACCGTTGTGTAGAAAGCCAGACGAACATTGGCCGATAAGTTCAGTGTGGAGAGCATACTGTAGATACCAGGGTCCCAATCATGCTCATAAGGGCCTCGATGCCCGAGCAGCTTTATTCAGCCGCAGTTCAGAAAGTTAAGAAACCACAGACGGAAGAAGAAAAAACGTAACTCTCTTGAAGATGTGCACAATCTTGAAAGGGCTCATCATTAACACAGATGGTCAGCGCCACTTTCTACTCTTTGTCATGATCAGGTCGCTCGGATGACTACTTTCCTTCGGCCATGCAGATCCTAATCAAATAGCCAGGATAGCCAGCAAACTATCGCCACTCCTTTCACCGACGTCGCCTGAATGATACGCACCGAGCGTTTACACCTTTAAAACTTATACCTCAGAGAACTCCTCTTGTGCTTGTGCCCCAGGCTCAACAGCACAGCAGCTCTGGCGGCTTGCCCGCTCCTTCTTTGGCCAGGGCTTTGAGGCTGTGGACGGCAAGACTTGTTGGGTTCGTCGCAAAAGCTGCCACATGGCCGCGCTTACACAATCCCGACCGCGTGTCTCCAGGTCCTGGCCACTGACCCGCACAAAGCCAGCACCACAAAGATGGTACCTTGGGGTGCTGAGATCGGGCTGGGGGCCTGGAGACAGAAAACAAGCCCTTCATTCCGGAAGCTAGCTGGGCTTTTCGAGCTAAGGCTTAAGGCTTTCGCTGGGCTTGCAAGGTTCCAAGTTGAAAGGCTGATTTCACGACAGAAGGTTCTTAACTGACACTTTCGGGCTTGAGATCTTCATATTCACGCATTGGCCCAAGACCTCCGCCTTGCGGCTGTGCATGGCAACCCCCCACCCAGATTCAACATAGCATAGTAGAATACATATTGTAGCATGATATAGAACAGTACCATGTGATATGTTGCAGCATGCCGCACACGCGTCCAGAACAAGCTATGCCATGCAGCGGAAAGAAAACCGCTAGGGCGCTTACATCTGGGCAGCTGTGGCACATCTCAGGAACAACCGAGGGGATCACCTTTACACCTGGGCTATGCATATGCCAGGACTCTACGAGATCCCTAGACCCTCGTTGTTGAACCCGGAGCTCTATCCAAACCCTAGACCCTAAATCCGGAGCCCTTTTTTGCATCCGGGTCTAATCCTACACCCTAAATCCTACACCGCTGAGACAAGGGCTCGGCGAGAAAATGCAGCATGTAGGGCAAGTGGGCTTCATGCGCCTGGGTCTGTCGAAACGAAATTTGCCCGGCCTCCCCTCGCCTTTGGATCAAAGGCCCAGGGCCACGGCTTCGGGATTAGGGTTTTTGAGTTTAGGGTTTGGGGTTTAGGGTTTAGGGTTTAGGGTTCAGCGGCCAAAGCCCCACGGAACAACTGAGTTGACCACCTGTGCGCACCCCACGTCCTTCACCTGCCGCCACCGCGAAGAAAGGTCCAGAGTTGATGGGTCGTGGCTGAAGCTTCTACCAAGGTGGCGGCTTGGCCTAGAACTTCGAGAGCCTATAACACCACAAGCCCTATCAACATCGATCGACCCTATCAGCACTCTCTAACCTATCAACCCTATTTCAAACCATACTTTTCCAAGAGAAAGGAGAACCACTACCTCCCCGCGCTGGAGGGCGAAGGCCAGCGGTTCCACCTCATGGGACGCTTTGAACTTCGTCAAAGGCCGGTCCCAGGGTTCCAGGTGCTGCTTGGGCTTTTGGGTTGAGGGTTTATGGTCACGCGACTGAGCAAGTACGGTTAGAAGTAAGGATACTGCAGTTCTATGGCTGAACCCGAGCAGCTCCTTTCTTGCACAGACTCGTGGCAGAAACCCTAAGCATCTGAAACAGCTCCTACACCATGAACCACCGCTTGACCTGTTCTAATTTGGACCTGTTGCAGCATCCCATCACCTCCGCACCCCGAAGCCAAGCACCCCCATTCTATTTCATGGGCAAATTCTGACCAGGATGCGCCGGAGCCTCCAGGAATCTGGGAACCCCGTTTTGAAACCGGACTTGATGACTGCCAGCATTGCCTCTCCTGCCGTTCTTCAGCCTCGGAACCCCTTAAAGCCCTGACATGAACTGTTTTCCTAGAGACCCTCGCTTTACAAAGCAGAACCCTCCCTAGACACATCTTTTTGCACTCAATCCTATGTTACCCCAACCCCTGTTGCAACAGGCTTTCCACTTCGCCCGGAGGTGGTAAAACCTTAATTTAACCCTAAACCCTAAACCCTTAACCCTAAACGCTAAACCCCTAAAAAGTTAAGAAACACCGGCTCAGGGCCCCGGACGTCCCGAGAATCGGCCACCTCCACTCTCAAGAAAGGTAGCGGCTGCAAGTGCAGCCCGTAAATGGAGCACCACCTTAGGGGCGGTTGTTGAAATTTAAAATGTTTTTCTTGCCTCCTGCATGGCTGAACATGTCGCGAAGCAGGCTTATGTTAGCATACCAGTCAGGGTTTTTACATTGTAGGGCTCGGGTTTTACCATTTCTGTTTAAAGAAAAGCTTCACGGAATGTGAAGTTGAGGATGGTTATTTAGGATTTGGTGTTTTCGGTTTTGTGTCTCACATGAGGCAAGCAAGGCTTCACGACAAGTCAAAGCACAACTGCTGACACAAGCAACCAACTCCAGAATACCAACCATATATATCACGAAGTCATATAGAAACAAGCCTTCCGAGGCCGATCGCCGTACTTTTCACATCTCTAGCTACAAGGTCGGTGAGCACGACACCCGGCTCAAACCCGAAAACCAATAATCCAACACACCAAATACAACACAGCACAACATAGCACAACCAGGACACAATCAACTAACATATAATCTGGACCGCGTGCTTGAACACGAATGCAAAGTCCAAAACAACGGTCGACTTGAACCAGAAGCTCCCCCCAAAAAGCCGTGTGCATGAAATTCAAGCAGCTCCAAATCACAAGTCACAAGAATTGTCACCCCTCGACCCCGACTAGGACTATGACTAGGACGATTTCAACGCCTTGCCACTTCTGACATGCCGGCACAGCTGAGCTTGAAGCCTCTCCAGCTTCAAATTTACCACCCTGGCCTGGCCGAACACTCATGAAATACGAATGACAACAACAAGAAGAAAAAGGGTTTAGGGTTTAGGGTAATAAAACGAAAAGATGCAGAAACGATCGAAAAGAAACAGGTTGGAGCGCTTCTTTGTGACCTCCTCTTCAAGCTCTGAGCCTTCGTGGGGCCCCAGATAAAAGGTTTTACCATTCTGACAACAATACTTGTCACAACACAAAGCAAAGAGGCCGAGGAACACAAAAGTTCTGTGATAGAAATGGTAATAACGACGATAATGATGGTGATGATGGTGATGGTGGTGATGTCCTTCTACCGGCTGGCGCCTGCGGTCGCCCCAGCTTCTTGGCAGCATCTTCGATGGCTGCCGCAAGCTCAGAGCATGCAACAATCTGGCAGCGGGTAAGCTCCGAGGGTCTATAGGGCCAAGGGGGGGGCCGCAACTTGGCAGACCAAGTGGGGCTTGCTTCTACGAGCGTCTCCTGACTGGCAGCTCACTCACCGACATGTTAAAACTTTGCGGAAAGTGGAAGAAACGGATGCTATGGAAGCCTGCACTACACAGCAAGGCTTTTTGAACTCGTGGTGCAATGCATGGTGAGTGAGACGGGAACGATCACTGTCGCTCGACGACAGCACAAACAGGAAGACATCGCAGTACTAAGCACTACGACGCCACTTCAGCGATCGAGTAAGATGCCAGGACTCCAAGCTAATACAGGCAGTCATGGATGACAGAGACATTAACGAGTTAGCATCGTGAAGATATGTGAAGATGCTTGCTTTTTGCAAACACCTGAGATCAGTCTTCAAACTCCACGATGTACTCCGGGTACACATGGGACTCTTGCAAGACGATATACTCTCTGGGGCCAGAACGATCTGGATTCGCCAACACGCAGTGTTTCCCGCGTGCTGTGGCTTCGCTCGTCGCATCAGAGTGCCAGTGCTTCTCGGTGTAGTACATGTGGCCGCAGACTGCTCGACAGAGTAGAACATATTTCACGTTGTTCGCTGCAGTGCAATAGCTGAGGCTCTTGTTCAAGTCCTCTGCAAGGTAAACCCCATGGCCAAAGCGACGACCGTGCGTGCCACTCTTCTTGACCTCGAAGCCTTCCTCGGAAATAGCTTCTGCTGACTTCTGTGAGGTGCCGTGCCAGAGAAGCATCTCATTCAAACCTGGTGCCATGTTCTCCACAGAGATGGCCTCGTCACCATGGAACTCTGCGAGGATTGTGGCCGTCAGGGCATGGCCGGATTCGGGGTTTCCGTCGAGCTCATTGGGAGGCGTACATTTGAGGTCACCGTTGGCCTGGAGTTGTGCACCTAAAGATCGCTTCCAGTCAATGTAGCGGCACCAAAGGTTTGAGTCCTCGACGCGCCTTGCCCGGACCACCTTTGGCGCTCCACCGTCCCTTCCACAAGAGCCATTGGCCAAGCGCTGAATGAGCTGGCGGATCATTGGCTTCACTATCCAATGTTCTCGGAAACCTTCTGTGTACGGATTGCGGCCAACATTTTTCCAATATAGCGGCAGCTCGAGCAAGAAAGGCACATCCTTCGGTGGCAGCTCGGGTGTTTCACCCCTCTGAAGCCGCTCGTAGAGGACCAAATATTCTGGATACACCTGGTCGCGATCGTAGACGACCATCTCTCTGTAAGTATTTACGGCTTTTGCACGGTCTCCAATCGTGCTGTCACACTCGCCGTTCCTGTACTTGTCAATGGCAGATGGCTCGCGATCCAACGTGTAGTGGAAGCTGCCTAAGCACACCCGGCACAAGAGCAGGCCCCGCGCACTGTCGTAGTGGCCACCCGGCTCATCCAAGGCGTACTCGTCGGCCTTCGTGCAGCTCTCCGTAAAGTACAAGCCCTTCCCATACATCGTCCCCGCCCCCGAACCAGCATAATTCAGGCTGAAATCATCTTGAGCTATCTTCAGGCCAGTTCGAACTTGCGTTCCATGCCAGAGGTAGACTTCGTTGATGCTGTCATCGACATCACACAAGATGTCGGTCAACCCACTGGAGGCTTCCATGGCTGCACGTGTGAAAATTTTAGGGTCCGGAGCTTCACAGGACGACCGGGAGTTTTTGATCTGCTCGCGTCGATCAATGTAGCGAGTGAACATGGAAGAGTCTTCCACACGGATAACACGCTTGATCTGGTAGCCTGTCGGCAGACCGGGGGTACCACCAGGCTGCACACAGGGGCATCCACCCCTGGTCTTGTCGTGCTTGCCCGTCGGGCATAGACGATCTTGCGTCGTAATCTGCCGGTAGGTGTGGTTGACCAACTCCTGAAAGAACTCCATGTGCTCGTGCTTTACATATAGAAGCTCGTCGAAGGCAAGGTCCTCCCTGACGTTGGATTCTTCTCCGCTCTCGCGGCCTCCGGTCCAGTAGCTTGGAAGGCTCTTCATCGCCATCTCATTCCTATACTGAACTTAGACCCCTAGCAAAAATTATAATTTTAGCTGCTTCTTAGGGTTTATAGTAGCCAAAGATTCAAAATTATTTCCAAGTACCCCTAAGATTCAAAGGATCCACGAGCTCCTTGCTGTCTGAGCGCAGCGTCGCTTTGCTACCGATGACCACAGCCGTCGGCCCACCCGCATAGCTCGGTTTTGCTTTCCTCCTCCCGAAACAATTCCTCCTCCTCGCCTGGCAACAGAAGATGACGATTGCACCTCCCAGGATGGCCGCTCCGGCAATGCTTGACACGATGATTGCCGGAGTCGGGTCGTCCTCATAAGCCTCCACAGGTACTTCGGGCGGCGAAGGCGCTGGTGTAGGCGATGGTGACGGCGACGGTGAGGGCGTGGTGGGAAAGGCCGTCTTTGTCGCAGGAGGAATCCAAAATACCACCGTGTCCCGCATAATCTGCGCGGTGTCAAACAAGCGCACACCATTGTACCGTAGGCGGGTCTTGAACGCATCCGAAAGGTCGTAGAAGTTCCTGCGCATGTCCTCGAGGGTAGCCACCAGACTTGGAAGTAGGGAAGCTTGAACAGGATCTTCCACTGCCAGATGGATCGTCACGTTGTATCCGTAAACGCGCGTGTCCGCCGGAACCCATGGGCCGAACTCCCCCTCCCTCACGCTTATCAGGTGCTGTGGCAGCGCCAACATGGAAGCGAGAGCCTCCCGAATGTGCTGCTCGATCGGCGGAAACATGTCCACGGGAAAATTGACGTCATTGGGACAAGGCGCTACATTGTACCAGCAGCCGAACTCGATCCAGGATGACAGCACGATCGTCGCTCCCGGCTGCGGCTCCGAGACGTTCTGGCGAAACCATTGCATGGCCGGCATGTGGATGTGGGTGCCATCCACATCGAAAGCGACGGTCCCATGGCGCACACGACCCAGCTGCTGATCATAGGCCGCAAGATACCATCCCCGAGATTCACCAGAGTCTGAGCTGTAGCCCTGGCCGAAAAGCCAGCTGCTATGAACTATGGCGCAAAGGGGCGCCGAGCTATTTGGTGGAAACGCAGCAGTAAACTCCACATCACATTTCCTCCCAGCCTGCATCTCCTCATAGCATTCATCGAAGCTTATGTTCTGGAGTCGCTTCCTCCAGTCCCCGAAGTCGACTGGGAGTTCTGTCTGACCACCACCAGACACGTTCATCGAGCTCGGAGCCATGATTTTGGTGCAGTGTGGATCCTCAAAGAAGGTAACCCCGTAGATGGCATAGTCGTCCCTCCGACATCGGGCATCCCTGGTGTTGATGTACAGGGCCCATGCGGCACTCGTTGTTCCCTCTCGCAGTGATCCTGACTGGGGCACATTAAGGCTCTTGTTGGGAGACTGTCCCCAGCCGTAGTTCCATTCGTCGCTCTCCCCATTCTCGACTTCAAAGTCCCCCGTGAAGTAGCATCGCTGCAACGATGAAGAAGAAAGATGATCGAAACTGTAAAAGACTCCTTTGCAGAAGCCACAAGAGTTGCAGATGCGGACGCAAGATGCCAGATCGAAGCACTCCGAATTAGAGCATCCGCCATCCGAGCTGGGAGCCTCCATCCACGGATTGCACTCTGTCCGAAGAATAGTCACTTTGGTGTTCGTGGCCCAGCCACAGTACTGCGTCTCCTTCCCGGTCGAGTTTGGAAGAGGCCACCGATCGCCTTCCCCTCGGTAGCTGAGCCTGACCGTAGGTTGGGCGCCGCGAACACAAAGGGCGCTCAGCTGCGCTTGCACTCTGCCTACACCGCGCCTTCGGTGGGAGACGACTTCCGGCGGACTGTAGAGCTGGCACTCCGCAGAACCCCAGTAGGGCTGTGCGGACTGGACAAGCTGCGGCTCTAAGCCGAGAGAGAGAAGCTCTGCCATGGCATGCCATGCCATGGCGTCAGAACCATCCGTCCCCGTCCATGGATTGCCCCAGATCGGGGGACTCATTCTGGGAGCGAAGGACGCATAGCCGGCACAAGTTTCACTCACTAGCCAGGATGTAAAGCAGTTGCAGGAAAAGGCATAGTAGCCATCAGGGCATGTCGCGCGAAGATCGCCTTCACCATACCCCGATGTCGTAACAAGCGAGCTCAAGGAGTCGGATTCCACGCAAATCGCTTCGGCCATGATCGCCGGTAGCTCGCCACCTCCCTTTGCTGTGCAGTTAGATTCAGTCACCGAGATTCCGTCACCCGAATCTGGTGGGATAGTCTGGCACTTCAGAACTGTGGTCTGGAGGTTGCTTGATGGTGATATAGGGCACACGGCCGCCACGGTGCAGTCATCCCCGGAGCATGCGCTACTGTAGGTGACGTACAAGGAAGCACTGAAACGGTCACTTCGGTACGGCCCGACGTCACTCATTGCAAAGTAGGGCGGTGCTGTGCCGAATTTCTGGTAAACGCTGCTGCCGCATGTGCTCGTTTCGAATGTTCCGCAAGCATCCATGAGCCAACAATCGGAGTTGCAGTCGAACTGGACGAAATTGCATCCGACCGCGCGGCAGAGCGCCATGCAACGATCAAGAGACATGGCTCCGTACCTTGTTGCTGAAGAAGCCTGCTCTGAGCAGTAGACGGCGGGCGTGCACCCCCACTGGCTGTCTAGATATGGCATCGCATCCGGTGTAGTGGAAGGATAACATTGCCCAAACACTGTTGTTGTTGTGGTTGTGCCCCACAGCCAGTTCCGATCTCGGATGTACACGCTACTGCCGCAGACGGTGTCCACAAAACCGCCACATGCTCGCAGCAGCCAGCAGTCGGTGTTGCAGTCATACTGGATCGCGTTGCAGTCATCAGTCTGGGAACACGCGACCTTACAGCCTTCCAAGCTCATTGGTCCCAACTGTTGTGCCTCGCTTTGCAATTCGCAAAACTTTCTTGGCGTGCAAGTGTACTCCGCAGAGGTGACGATGCAGCTGCCAGGCTGAACGGAGGATGTCGTAGTCGGGGCAGTGGAAGTGCCTTCCTGGCAAACGACCTGTGCGTTCGGGTTGCCACTTCCAGCGTTGAGGTTGAAGAAAAGCTCCGGTGCCAAGAGCCACTTGTAACAACCATTCGGCCACTGGTCCGTGTCCTCCGCATTCGCAAACGTGTAACCCAGAGATCTTGCCGCTTCTCGGCAGTCGAATTCGCTGAGAACCGGCTCTGAGTTTGAGGGGCAGCTGGTCAAACCCGGTGAAAGGAGGCTGAATGACAGAGTGGCAGCTGAGCTTGTCGTCGCGTTTGCGAGTGTGGTCGTAGTTGTTGTAGTCGATATGCCCATTGTCTCGCAAACGACCTGCGCCTCCACGTTGCCACTTCCAGCGTTGAGGTTGAAGTAAAGCTCCGGTTGGCGGGTCCATTTGTAGCAACCGTTCGGCCACTGGTTCGTGTCCTCCGTGTTCGCGAGAATGTAACCAAGAGCTGTTGCGGCTTCTCGGCAGCCGGATTCGTTGAGAACCGGCGTTGCGTTTGAGGGGCAGTTGGTCAAGCCCTCTGTGTGGAGGATGAATCTCGCTGAAGTGGTCGTCGTTGTGGTTGTGGTGGTTGTATTGGTGGTTGCATTTGTGGTTCTTGTGGTAGGTGCAGGATAGATTATCTTATGGTACAGGCTACTCCCACATACTGTATCAAGCTCGTCTCCACAAGGCTCGGCTTCCATCAGCCAGCAGGAAACTCCGCAATCCCATTGCACGGAAGTGCATGCAAAAGTGTCATCACACCGGCTCAGACACTCCTCAAGCGGAATCTCACCCAGTAAGGTTGCGGCGCCTTGATTCGCACAGTACTTCCGCGGGCTGCAAGCATAGTCATACAATGCGGTGACGGCCACGCATTCTCCAGTCTGGGTCTGAGCCTGAGTTGTTGCTTCAGTCGTTGTGGTCGTTCCCCAATTTCGATCACGGTAATAGATACTGCTCTCACAGCCAGAGGTCACATGCGGTCCACAGCTGTCCAGCAGCCAACAATCTGTGCCGCAATCGTACTGGATAACCGAACAGTCTCTGGTTTCGCACTGAGTCATGCAGTCTGCAAGCGACATCGACCCGAGACGGGTCGCATCGCCCTGCAAAGAACAATATACATTGCTGTGACAATTGTACCATGCCCTCTCGGCTGTGCCATCAGGGTAGCACGTTTCTGGCTCGCCACAGCCCTGAAGGAATAATGCAGAGGCTAGGAACACCGAGGCAACGGCTGGCCTCGCCAGCAAAAGGCCCTTACTCCGCCTCAAAGTGCAGCGCTGCGGGCGGCGCGCCCGAAAAAGCGCAGACTCGCCAGGCACCATTGCAGATAGATACTAGGAGTACATGTTGTGCATGACTCGGCTACCGCACGGCTCATCAAAGGGAGCAGGCTGATGTTTGTTGGGCGTGCCCAAGTGGAAGTGTTTTCTGCATCAGTCTGCCGTGGGCTGCATCTGAACGACTCTACGCAGTCACCTTGAGTCAAACCATGTTGGCGGGTTCGCGAGCACAGACAATGAGTCTGTGCTGCTGTCGGAAGGTTACGGTGTTGAAGCTGCGCGGAATGTGGCTGCCCCTGCTTCCCGGATACTGTGCAAAGCCTGACCTCGTCCGAAGTCGAAGCCGCTTCTGTACATGGGCCTGGCGCAGCAACCGCAGAACACTCTGCTAGATTGAACCACAAGCATGAGGCAGAACCGCTCACGTTCCGCTGCTTGATAATCCCCATCGTCCCGCGGGCACCTCGAGTTTCGCAACTGCGACGCGTGGAGGAAAGCGCTGTAGCCTCAGAATTACTGCACGATCGGCCCAGTTCCTGAACCCGAATCCCCAAACAGTACTCCCTCAACCCTAAACCTCTAAATCCCCAAAACCCTTCTGCAGCAGGCTTCTCTCGCCCGGAACTGCCGAAAGCCTAATTACTCTTGTCTAAGCTTCGGACCGCCTCCTCCGAAAGCTCTACCTCGGCTTCGCTTCCGAGCTCCTACACCATCTCATTTCGGAAGACTGATTCAAGCTACAAACAGGAGCCTTCATGCACCAAGGAGTGGCCACGATGTCATAATTGGGATCCCTCAAAATCCTCGGCAATTTTTTGAAATCTTGGCACCTGCGGGCTGCCGGAATTCACATATCTGGCCTGGCAGACAACACAGCTGGGACTCTCGCATAAAAAAAAGGCCAGGAGCCGTGCACATGCACGCAAACCTCGGACGGGAGCAAGGATCTGGGGATCAGGGGAGACAACCAGTAGTGTACCCCAGTTCTGAATCCGCTGATCCCTGCCTCGAAACGGTTCAGCTCAGTGGGAGACATCACGCAGCCGAGGGCCCGGCACTTGCACCTTGTCGGGAGACGCCAAACAAGCGGACCACTGGAACCTCGCCCACTATGGCGCGGTGCCGGGGTTCGCATTTTTATGGGTCGGGTTTAGGGTTCAGGGCGTTCAGGGCTAGGATTTCGGGTTTAGTCCATTGTTTCACAACCCTCTCCCGCTGCTTGGGTCCAAACCCAGGGATACGAGGTTCTGGCAGAGGGCTTGGGGTTTTGAGCATGGCTTTAGACTCTCGCAACTCGGACAAAGGTTTTTTTTCAAGCTCACACTTGGACAAGTCCAGGCAACACCGGGTTTAGGGGCACGGTATTCTGGTCTTTCCGTCTCGGTCTGTCTGTCTTGTCGTCTCTCTCCACGTGGTGACATTTAAAAGTCAGTTTACATGTGTGCTCCTGTGCATAATGATGTTTCTATCAATGTATCTTGTATTTAAAACTGACTTATCTATGTTGTTGCTATTTGTTATACATGTACTTGAGCATCTACATGAACATGAACGTGTACATAGACATGCACATACACATGCACGTAAACATCTACATTCACAGTTACATGTCTACACTCGTACACCATCTAACTATACGTGTTTGTCTTAGCGACTGGGACAGAGACGGAAAGACAGAGAGAGAGAGAGAGAGAGAGGGACAGAGGGACAGAGAAATTTAAGTTGAAGAGAGCGGCTGCAAGAGCTAGGGGCCACAGTAGTTTTTCTTTCGAAACCGTACTGGCATCAGCGGATCACAGGCTGGTACAGGCGATTCACAACCCGAAGAGCCGGAAAGCGGGCCTTAGCCGGAGGGGTGTTGAGCCACTCTGGCAAGTGTAGGTCGAAGCCTGCTGGCTCCACCTGGGACTTGTTCCGTTGTCTTGTCCATCTTAGGATCCCTGAAGCGAAAGTTACAAGAACCGCCGCAAAAGGGAGGCCCGGATGTTAGAACATTCATCGGAACTCCGGAAATCGGACATCCAGGCATGATCAGGCACGTTCTATCACTCGATTGAAAAGGTCCCAGGAAGCACGGAGCAAAGCACGAGGACGGGACCATGCGGACATCGAGCGCCGTCACGGCGAAGGAGACCCCACGCATCTGACAGGTTTCGGGAAGCTCGGGGATCTTTAGGGTCTCGGGTTTAGGGTATAGGGTTTATAGGGTTTCGAAGGTTCGTGGCTGGCGGACAAAAGCTCACTTCTCGTTTCTTGCGACGACTCGGACGCTTGTCCTTCGATGACCGGTCTCTGAAGGATTCTGTAACAAGAAGTCGCCGAGGAAACTGCTACCGGTAGGCCCCCTCTCAGCGGTACAGGCCATTGTTGATGCGGTCGATGAAGTAAGCAGGGCTTGCTGGCAGGCAGACAAGATTGCCCTCGTACTTCTTGGCAATGCTCTTGAGCTTGTCGTCCATACCGGGGATGTTGTAGATGTCTGAGACCTGCTGGTAGGGCCCATGCGTGCCGATGAGACCCGCGACGGTAGGGAACATGCCCGGGAACTGGCGGTAGGCCTGGATGTTGGCGTTGTTGATGTCGACCTTGTCCGTTCCCCCCAGGTATTTTATTCCTTCATAGTCCACCATCGCCTGAGCGGCACCTGGTGCGACGGCCACGGCTGCCGCTGCGGCGGTCGAGCAAAGCTGCTGCTTTTTGGAACTCAACCAGCCCAGCACCGCACCAACCCCGAATCCTGCCGACAGAACACTCAGGACGTTGGAGCCATTGGAGCTCTGAGAATCGAAAGTCGGCTCAAGCGGCTCCAGCGGCACTTGCACGGCCTTACCGCTGGTAGTGGTGACACCGCTACCAGGTGCCACAAAGGCCGCCACGGGGACCAGAAGCAAGGCGGCAAGCAACGCACGGGCCATGACGTGGATCCCTTTATGCCCCTCAGCCTCTCAGCGCCTCCTCGACAAAATCAAAAAAAACCTGCGGCGATCCCGTGATGTTCGAGTTGAGCGTCCGACCGTGCCCTTGCAGGAAGCTTTCAACACCTTTTTGTGCTTAGGGTTTACAAACATTAGGGGTGAGTCCCACCCTGCTCGCACCCTTGCCATCAGACACATGTGTGGGCTCCTTTTTCGATCTTGTCTCCCGTTCTCCGCTTAGCTCGAGGAGAATCCTCGGGCTCGAGACCGCTGGCTGAAGGCAACTGCCCACGCAATGGCAGAAGATTTTTCTCATCGGACACCGCCTGCCTTGCCTCCTCTGCAAACTGAAAGCCTGAACTCTGGCACTCATATCAGCACTTATCTTATCTTTCATTAGCTCACTCTCTCAAAATTTCGAGATTGTCAGCTTGCTAGACCGCTACTCCAGCCCAGCAGAAACTGTAAAGCACACACCTGAATCAGAACCCCGGCGCCCCCAAAGCCCCATAAATAGCTGCAGCTCAGGCGCCTCTATCCACCTCAGGGGATCTCCACATGGACTGCGATGCTTCGGGCGTGGGGACTTCGGGGGCTGTAAGGCGTGCAGCTGAAGCCACCCAGGGCCCTGGACCGACTCCGGACAGCTGGCTTTCATTGCGGTCGGCTTTCGTATTCCATGCATTGAAACTCAAAAGATCCAGTGACGGACATTGGCTCAGGCTTAATTACTCGGCTGCTGCCCTTGCATCTACAGCATCCACGACGTCCCACACGACGAGGAGCAAGGAGCCTGAGAGCCTGTTCTTGGCGAAAGTTGGCGTTGCGCAGCAAATAACACGTCCCCTGAAGTCTGCACACGCGTGCGTGGGCGAGCGTTCGCATCGTTGGCAAACAGTAGGCTTTTTCCTACGCTGCAAGCAGCGCTTGGATCCGTGACGGGGCTGGGCCGGGAGCAAGAAGATTTTGGGGCTGAAGAATAGCAACAACCATAAGAAGAGGAGTATTAGTAGTAATAATTATGGTAGTGGTACGAATAGTAATAATGATAATAGTAGTAATGATACTAGCACTTATTATGATAATACCAATAATGGCAGCAATAACAACAATAATGATGATGACAGTTGTGGTGGTGGTAGTAGTAGTAGTAGTAGTGCCTCCTGCATGGCTGAACGAGTCACGAAGCAGGGTAATGACAGATACAGGTGAATTCAGCTTCCATGTTGAAAGCTCCCAGTAGTAGTAGCAGTAGTAGTAGTAGTAGTAGTAGTAGTTTTAGTAGTTTCAGTAGTTGTAGTTGTTGTTGTTGTTGCAGCAGCAGCAGCAGCAGCAGCAGCAGCAGCAGCAGCAGGAGTAGTAGTAGTAGTAGTAGTAGTAGTAGTAGAAGTCGTCGTCGTTGTCGAAGCAGTAGCAGAGCAGTAGCAGTAGCTGTAGCAGTAGCAGTAGGAGTAGTAGTACAGTAGTAGCAGTAGCAGTAGCAGTAGCAGTAGGTAGCAGTAGCAGCAGCAGTTAGTAGCAGTAGTAGCAGTAGTAGTAGTAGTAGTAGTAGTAGTAGTAGTAGTAGTATCAGTAGCAGTAGTAGTAGCAGTAGCAGTAGCCGTAGCCGCAGCCGGAGCAGTAGCAGTAGCAGTAGCAGTAGCAGTAGCAGTAGCAGTAGCAGTAGCAGTAGCAGTAGCAGTAGCCGTAGCTGTAGCTGTAGCTGTAGCAGCAGTAGCAGTAGCAGTAGCAGTAGCAGTAGCAGTAGCAGTAGCAGTAGCAGTAGCAGTAGCAGTAGCAGTAGCAGTAGCAGTAGCAGAGTAGCAGTAGCAGTAGCAGTAGCAGTAGCAGTAGCAGTAGTAGTAGTAGTAGTAGTAGTAGTAGTAGTAGCAGTTGTAGTACTTGCAGTGGTATGCGCCAAGGCCCCGAAACCTCCAAAAATTCCCA